TCATTGAAGTAGGTAGGCACTTCATCAAATAAAAGCTGGATAGTGGATAATATGCACTCTATGTATGCTTACCGCTTTGCAACTTACTGGTATATTTACTGAATGATTAAGTCATCCTGGATTTCCAACAATTATCACCAAGTTGGGAAGGGAAAATATCTATTCACCAGCTTGAGGAGGATTATTAGGAAGTGTATATTAAGTTCAAGTGTGGGTTAAGTAGGGTAAAAAATATGGCAGTAATGTACCTCTTCTTTGTAATTAACTTATATTTCTTTGTATTGCTTCTATTAACTTTTGAGTTCCTAATATTCAATAAAATATGCTTTCATTCTTCTACAGCTACTTCAACACTAACAAGCATAAATGACTTATACTTCCTAGTGATTCATGTTTATATTTTGTACATAGAACTCATTTCTTTTTAAGAATCCAGATTTTCTGATAAATAACTGCAACACCAGATAGTCCATCCAAGCAAAGGAAACAAATATGACAAGTCAATATCCAATTAAAAAATTACTATATGTATCTGTTAGATTAAACTGTTTTTTAAAATACCATTGATAGCCACTAGTTGATATTAATTATTTGCATTATGCAATGCTTGATCCATTCAAGTATTATTATTAAGAGAGATTGAAACTTGTGAAACATGACCCATTGTCCATGGAAAGAGATTCCCAAGTTAGCTCCAAAGAATGAGATAGTTTATTTATGTGCATGGGATGCTGGGCTTCCTTTATCTAGAGTATATATCGTATAATGTTTAAAATATAAAAAAATTTACTGCCCCATGTCTACAGAAAGAGATTCTCGAGTTAGCTCCAAAACTGCGATAGTTTACCTATGCGCATTGCATGGGATGCTGGGTCCTTTATTTAAATTCAATATCATATAAATTCAGATTGCTTTATTTAGATTCATATTATGTGATTGAGATTGAACCAAGGCTAGTACCTGCTTTTTTAAATCTGAAAGTTTTCTGACATAACAGATGGTAGCAATGAACCAGTTCGTTGCTACTAATCGAGACTTTCTTGGGGCATCCTTGTACGTAGGTCTTTATGTTATCTTTCTATTTTGTTTATAACATACTCGTTTCCCCCTATTGCATCATGGCTTAATGGCCATGGTAACTGTATTTTGTTTTAAAGTTTTTACTTGACCTTGTCAAAAGAATTCTTGCTTAAAGATGTTAATTAGCAGATATCTGTTAGAATATTTTCTCTGTTATAAATTTTTCTATTCACCTCATTAAATGATATTAGGCTAAATTTGTTTTACCAGGTGGATGCTGTGACAGATCTTGTAGAACACATTCATCGGACAACTGCAAGGGTATTGCTTCATATTAATGGGTAAGATCCTAACACTTAAAAGAGGGATAAGCTGTTATGCTTTTCCCCAACAGCCTCTTGTGTAAAGTAATTAATTGGAGGATATGAATCCCTGTAGTACTACTATCTATCCTTGCATTCAACATCAACAATTTTCAGGCTGCAAATATCTTTTTCTAGTGCGTCATGTTATTAGATATGTCTATGATCTACCAAAGGAAATTGAAGATATGCCATGTGCTCCTCTACCACATGAAAAATCTGTCATCTATCATGCACATGCACTAGTGTAGCAATCACCTTCCATATTTTCTAATTACAGGTTCTAATGTAAAGATCTTTTAGTAAAAGCCAGGAGAGAGAAAGTCATCTCCATTTTTAGGTCCGTTTCCCTGGGGCTTGTTTTTCCTGGCTGGTTTCTTTGGCAACTGTGCAATTTCCTTTACCAAGAAAAAACTTGGTGATAGAAAGAAAGTCCTTGGATATGATTATGGAGTTTAAAGTTTAGGGTTATTATCAACAGACCTAACTGTATTTCACCAATTGTATCAAACTGGTCCTTGACAATTTAATTGACTAAAGTAGTAGCTTATATTTTGTATTTGTATCAAATTGATGCTTCAAATAAAAAAAACCTGCTAACTATTAAGGCAAGATTATCTTTTTTTTATTTCCTTCTTCTTTCTTTACTTATCACCACCATTTCTCTACAATCTCCTTGTTTTTTTTTCTTTTCCTTCCAATTGGATCATCAAAAGTTCTGTCCAAAAGTTATTTCTTTGAAGATCACAAAAAAAAAGAATGAGAATTTTGAAGAAGCAATTGGAGAGAAAAGAAAACTATGAGTAGGAGGAGGTTGTCAGAAATCATGGTGATGGGTAAAAAAAAGAACATGAGCAAAAGACTATTTTCCCTTTAATCTAAGAAAATTGAAGTTAACATTTTATTTGTTTAGAGCACCAATCCGATAAAAGTTCAAAATACATACTGTTATTTGATTTAATTATATTATCAATGACCACTTTGCTACATACACTTTTTATTTCAAAAACAAAAAGACCACTTTGATACAATTGGTAAAGTACAAGGGGTGTGTTTTTATATACCCTTGTGAAGTTTATGATATTCTCCAGTTTTCTCTTTTTGTCTCATAGATGATATTAGACTTCTTGAGCATTTAATTCCTCTCCTACAAGGGAAAAAGTGGTCTTATGATGTTATACAAGATCTAATACCGACTTATCCAAGGTAGTGACGAGAAAGGTAACTAAGAAAATAAAAGAATAGGAGAAGATAGAGGAAAACTGGACATTAAGGTGGAGATTTAGAAGGAATAGAATCCTAGCAAGTAATCTTGAATTCAATGTTGTCTATTAATATCCAAAAGATAGACATAAAGATGGCAAGGTTTGGACATTTGCTTTTGTAATCTGCATATGAAAGAAAATTCTATTGGTTGTACTTGGTGTCCTGGAAACTGATTGGTTGATGAGGTCTTTTTCTGGAAAGAAGATTCTATTTATGTTAATAGCTTTGGGTTCAGATATCTTCTGTATTTTGTTTCTTTAAACAAGTTATGGTTTTTGAATGGATACCATTAGTGTATTTGGAGAGTTCCATGAATCAAGGGAGATCATGGCATCTCTCACCTCCACTTGGTTGGTTTTGATTTTAAAGTGAACGTTCCTGCAGATACAAAAGACTTTAGTCTCAATAGTTTGGTAAGTGATGCTTAAGTACTCATTGCCATCTGTGCCAAAGCCTCACCTTGAATATCCTTCTTTGCTTTGGAGGCAGCTTGGTGTAGAATTCTTACCTTGGATAACCTGAAGAAGGGAGATCCTTGGCTAAAAGATGTTTTTTATGCTTGAACAAGGAGGAATTCCTTTCGTCTTTGTTGTCTTGAGACTGTAGAACTAAGGGATTGGGCGTTTCCTATTGTCAACCTAAACTGGGTAATTGTTTCTCTGTTAAGGATGAGTTATGGGCATGCAGTGGTATAGCTCCTAACAAGTCTAAGAAGATTATCTCTATCATTCCCCTTTCTATTTGTTAGGTTATTTGGAAAGAGTGAAAAATATAGCTTTTGACAACTTCATATCCCCTTTTCATTAGATTAGAGATCACTAGTTTAGAAATGTTTAGATTATGCTTAAAGGGCACCCCATTATTGATGGCTTTGATATTTTATATCTCTTTAATCTTCTCTCCTCTAAGAGATTGTGAATTATGCACATTTTTTGCATTGAGTTGCATGTCCGTGGTGCTGTTAATAGTGTCTTTGAAAGTAGAGGAGATAATGCGCCGGGGCTGGCTTTGATGTGCACGGCTACATGTAGAGAGAGCATACCTGCACTGGGGCCAGCTTTGATGTGCACAGGTAAATGTCAAGAGAGCATATGTGCACTAAGATGGACGCATGTTGGACCTGCTTCAAGTAGAGAGAGTGCCAATTCTATTGGTTTTTTTCTTTAATTAAAAAAAAAAACAGGAGTATAAACAACAAGGAAAGCTGATAGAAATCCAAAAAAGAGCCCAGGGCTCTATACTATGTGGAATATAGTGGGAAACTGAATTTCTTGTATGTTAAGGAGAATACACATGGTTAAATATAGTTAAGAAAAATTAGAAAACTAATTACAAAATAAAATCTCAAACTAATTCCATTAGTGGTTTTCTAAAAATAATGTTTCATTTAACTCTCAATATATATATGTATATCAACAACTAATTTAGAAAGAAAAGATAAAGATAATCACCTTGTCTCAACTCTGTTTACAAAAACAAGTCCAGCTTTTCAATAAAAAATATAGATTATGTCAGCACAAACATCTTATATCCATCTCTACTGAGGACCAAAATCTTTCCTCTGTATGACCTTGGCAAATGAAAAACCTCAACTAATCCTATCATATGCCTTCACAAATCAAATTTAAAGATCAATCCAACATCTCATGATCTTTTCTCTAATTAATTAGCTATTAAAGAAGCATCAAGGATTTTCCTAATACCCAAAAAAGTGCTCTCAGAGATAGAAAAAAATTCAACATCTCACCAGCCACAGAGAGAATAATATTATAATAATCATATGATCAGGGTTCCAGTGCTGGAAGTGAATTGTATCTCATATTTTCCATTTTTGATGCTTTATATCTAAAGATTTGAGTTTTCTGGAAGATTTGCCACCAAAAGTTAGTTAGTTCTTCACTTGAGCTATCTTGTCTTTTGCTTTCTTTTAATAGGTATTGCTTTCCTTTGCAGATATGTTGATCGAATTGTGAATGCAAAATGGGAACTCAAGGAGCTAGGGATGGAGCATAATGGGTGTGTTACATGGAGTTTTTTCTTTCATCTATTAGTTTCTTTTTCAAGCTTGTGATCCTACAACTAATATTTAGGCAAAAGACACTATTCTAGGTGAAAGTAGTACAACAATATCTGCAACTTATCTCTGAATGTTCTTCATAGGGAAAATGACCACCATGAATCCAGTGCCCTTTTATCTTTGACATCATAACTAATCTCCTGTGGCATAACTCGGGATTTTTTATAAATATCAAAACCCAGTAAGGGGTTTCTATTTGCTTCCGTCTCGCATATAGATTTTTCTTCGATTACTTTGAACTCTCAAATGCAGTTATCCTCGTAAATAAATTCTGTACTTTGCTCCTAATAAGTCAGGGCAATTTGAGGGCTTGATCTTGGGGTCTTTACCTATGGTTTAGCTTTGGCCATAAAATGTTTTCATTAGCTTTATTTTGATGGTTTTCTTTTTCTTGATAAAAGAACAAAAATATTAGAAGAAAAAAGAGACATTCAATCCAAAATCACATTATAAGCCTTTCTGGCAGAGATAAAGAAGTCCCCTAAAGAATTCATGCGAACTTTACCAAAAAGAGACAAAGCACGCTAAAGTTCACTAACCGAATTGACTCATTTCAGGAAAGTTATGTACTCCTCTCCAACCAAAGTTTCTGTAGTCCTATCAAGATCATTCATTTCTCCAAATAACAAAATAGTACTTCCTAAACCACATATAGGATTAGAAATAAAATCTCAAAGTTCAGGGGGGCACACCCAATTCTCTCCAAACGAAGAGCATAGTTCCTGTGAAATTCTCTCCATCGTTGTTTTCAATCACATAATGTTTATTCATGAAAATAGTAAACATGATACTTCTTTATGGGACTAGTATCAATAATAAAATTTAAAATGTAAAGGCATCTTTTTATTATTTTTAAAATCATGTCATTTTGATTTTCAGTTTCTTAATATTGTTTCATTTGCAATTATCACTCATAAGAATATTTGTAAGACATAGTAATGAGATATAAAATAAAAGCTAGAAAAGTTTTTTTTATAGCAAAAACACCTTAAATCTCTCTGTATCATATCACTTGTGCTATCCTGGGAACTAGAATTCCAACTTTATTCCCAATTAAATAATAGCTCAATGATTAACACTATCCATAAAGGTTATTTAGATTAATATCTTAGCTGGATCTAACTTCTCACCTTTTAAAGGGTTTAGCCATTTTATTGTTTTAGGTGTTCTTCTCTTGTAGTATCCTTGTCTAAATAGATGAGCAACTAACAGAATATCAGCAGTTGTAG